GGGGGGGGGGGTGGAAGGTGGTGTCACTCCTCAACAGCACAGGCTGGAAGTACATAGCCTGATCTCGTGTGTGTGTGTGTCTGACTCTCAGCGGTAGAACATCTCGGATGGACCTCGGGGCCAGGGGGCAGGGGGAGGTAGAAGCATGCTCAGTGTGCGCCACCCCACCGCTCCAGCGCTGCCTGCTGCCAGGCGTTTCTGGCGGACAACGCCGACGTCGTCGGGACGACGGACCAGGTCTGCTCACCCACCGTGGCTGCACTTGGGCCTTGCATTTTGAGTGTGCCTCGCCGGCTCCTGCCCGCGGGTGTGGAGACGCGAGCGTCGCCCCAGCACTTTGTGGTGTGTGGAGACGTTTCCCTTCCCTCCCCTTCCCCCCGCCAGCTCGACGATGTCATTGTTACCCTCTGCCACCTTGCCGGCGCTTCGGCCGCCGGAGTCGCGGCGGCTGCGGCCGCCGCCAGCGCATCCCCGGCCGCCGCCGCCAACGGCACCGCCTGGGCGCGTCGGCTGGCGAGGGGCAACGTGCTGCCTCGGTGCGCGCACGCCTCGCCGCGCTCCCAGTAGCGCAGACCGGTAGGCAACCTAGTTTCAATCCCAGCGACCGCGGACCCCCACACACATCTGTGCCACACACATCACTCCCAGAGCGCCACACACGCAGCCACTCTTCCGGCAGGAAACGTGGCCAGAGTGGTGCTCTTGGGAAGAGGTTCCTCCTTTCCACTCCGGTCTCCGCAAGGCGCGAGACACACACACACCAGTTGGCAGTTGAACAAATCCATACTAAACCAGTTGTCGGATTTGGGGAATTGCCTGCTACCCAGGTACCCGAGATTACCCGAGATTACCCGAGATTGCCCGAGATTGCCCGAGATTGCCCGAGATTGCCCGAGACTCCCCCGCGAGACTGCCACCCAGGTACCCGCGCCGCGCGGAGCTCGCCGTAGAGGCACGCGCTTGGCGGCTAGGAGACTGCCCGAGACTACCCGAGATTACCCGAGATTACCCGAGATGGCCCGAG